GTTTCATCATTCATTCTCTGAGTTGTAAACAGTACCTATTTCTAAATGCAAACCAGGAAACACCAGTCAGCTTTCCTAGAAGTAAATTAATCTTCCCCTCGATGGGATTGGGTAGCCTTTTTAGAGACAGGGGTGTTGTCCCAGCACATCGTTTTTTCAAACCTCCTATCTTGCATCGGGATGTGATGCAGATGAGAATTTTCCACCACGCTCTTAAGCAGTGCTGCAACAGCAGTGGCAGACGGCAGATATGTATGCTCCTCCGAGAGCAGGGGCTATTTGCGTTACCTCGGAAAGCTGCAGTGTTAGAATTATTTTTTAAACTTTAGTCACCTGTTATTCAGAGTACTTTAATGGTTTCCAAAGTCACAACTTCGAGCCAGAGTTTCCCTGTAAAGATTGTTCTCGACCATTCTGCATTACATCCTAATATCCCTTCCAGCTAACGCACGTAACTTGGCCGTGCTCAGCAGAGCCTACTATCCAAACTTGCCTTAAGAGCTAACCATTAATTTTTCACTGGGAAATATAGAGGAGACGTCAGTATTCTTGCCTGTGCGTTAGAAGTTGGGTGACTGATAAAATTAGTTGTTTCCTACCCTGTTTTTCCCCTGCACTTTCAAGTGCTTTTAGTTGAAACCCAGCGCACAAGGTGAATACTGGCACTGCAATTGTATCAGGTTTTGTGCATGTGGATAAAATAAGCTGGCTGTAATTTTCCTTTGCTGTAATTTTTTGCTTCTCCTCCTCCCTCTGACTCCAGCCAGAGCTGCTGTCTCGTGTCACTGTGGTGCAATGTGGTGACCTCCTTTCCACCCCGTTTGAGCTTGCTGGGTGCAGCTCCTATCTCCAATCCCTGGCTGGCAGCACCTGCACCCGGAGCTGCTGGCAGGGAAGGAGAGCAGCCGAGGCCCTGGGTGCCGGCCATGGCAGCGGGGCTGTGGGGTGCTGGGGGGTGCTGCTCCCTAAAAGATATTTTCTGTTGATATTTGTGCTTTTGGCCATTCCCAGCCATTTGGCCAGAGAGGTGCTTGCCAGGTCACCAACATCAGCGCGCACCTCTCTCCCCTGCCGTGACCCTGAGTGCGATGGCCCTTTGCAACCGCCAGCACAGACAGTTTGCTCAGTTGCTGCGTTTTGGAGTCTGCTTTCCCCGGTACAGTGAAGGGCTGTTTTGGTGAAGGAGTGGATGATTTTACTAAGACTGTACAGCTAAAGTCCTGGGAATCCTCAGATTTCACTCTGCTCTTACTTCTGCTGCTGACTCTTGCCACGACCTCGGCAAAATCACTTGGATCCCACTTCAGCGCAGAAGCAGCTGCTTAGTTTAAAGAAAGTGACAGAGTCATAGTTCCTTAAATTCTTAAAGTTTGTAGATGCCTTGATGGATCAGAGCCCTTACACTTCGTATTGTGGTTTCCACGCAGATATCCAGATCCCATGGGTATTCAATAAGGATAATACAGTCTACTCTCACCGGGGTGGTTCGAGATTTAATTCAGTGGTCTGTCAAGTTCACTCCTGCACGGAGAGCTAAGTGAGGTGTCGTAAGCCAACCTGCAATGGATCAAGAAACATGACCCAGGCTCGTGCCAAAAGTTGCCTTCGTTCTTATCCAGCTCTGAATTTGCGAGCAGCCATTTAAACCGCAGAGCCCGGTGGGCGGGTGGGTGCGATGCCACGTCACCCCTCAGTGCGTCGCTGGCGTTAGGAACTGGTCCAGGGAGTCAGGATGGCACCGAGCCTCCCCCGCCACTGAAATCTCTTGAAGGAGATCTAACTCCCGGGTATTCACAGAAATTTGTAAAGGGTCTATTTATCAGCCAGCATGAAAAAACATGCCCAGGTTAGGACTGAAATCAGCGTTTATACAGGTGAACTGGCCCGCCAACCTGCAGCTGTGAGGGTGGAAGCATAGGAAACCAGTAGCAACAAAGCTCAGTGCAAGATCTTACCCACGGAGAAGGTGATTTTATTATACAAAATCTCTAAGCAAGTTGACTTTACATGCTCCTGCTCTCACCAAGACATACATATTCAAGCGTGTTCAAGCTGTGATCATTTGTGTGCAAGAGGGATGACAAGAGAGACCAACTTTCAAGTCCTCATCAGGCCTCTTGTGTTTTTCTTCATTGGCACTGAAACTCATTTCTGGACAGGTCTTTCACATTACCTAGGAGTGATATTTTGCTATTATCCTCCCCCTGGGCTAATCGAGAAAGGAATGTCATATGTGATACCGCTGCCATCGTCCTGTCGTTGGAGTGCAAGGTCTTCTGCCAGTGAGGTGTTTGCAGGATGCCTCCTGGCCTTGGGAAAAACAACGCGTGCCTCAAGGTGACTGATCGGAAGTGGTGTTTTTCACTATCAGTATAGGCCGTTGTTTTAACCTTTGATGTGCTGTTTCTTCTGGGGCTTTCACATGCATGAATGCATGCACGCACGCACCTACTTCGTTCACACCAATCTTAATATTTGTTATGACTGGCTACAGAATGGGTGGCGATAGTAGGAATTGGGGCAAGGCAGCTTGGCTGTGCAGTGAGGTAAGATTGTGCCTGTTCTCCGCAGGACTTGCGCACTATGTGAATCTGTGGATGTTTATAAAGCAACTGGAGTTACTCGCACGGCTATTAATGGGTCTTGCAACGCTGAACAGCACGAGTATTTGCGATCTATGACCGAGGTTTACAAGCTTCCTCTGATTCCAGAAATTATGGATTCTGTAAAAATACACATACAAGCCTATAAAAGAGCAGAACAAACGCAGAATTGCTTTGAAGTCGCTCCTTCCCAGCCAACGCGGTGTATTTTAATATATGATATGTTTTTACTGGCTTTCTTCTTGGTTTGAAATTTTCTTGGCTTAAAAATAAGAGCTCGATGGCTAAAAAGGTTGTGAACAATGTCAGTAAGCTTTACCTTGTGAAAGAGCTCTTAGTATTAGCTAAAAATAAGTATTATTCATGCAATTTAGCAATACGGATGGAAAAAAAGAGCGGGACAATGGTATGTCCCAAATGGCATCCACGGCAGGAGCAGGCTTACACCACACAACCCAACTCTATGCATCCTGCCTGTCCCACTTGGTGCGGGGGCAGCGGAGATGGTGTGGGGATGGGAGACACTGTGGCCTCTGCTCCCCTCCCCCTCCAGGGACCCCGAAACCTGGCAACTGCCCCATCCAGCTCCCCCAAACCCCATAAATGCCCTCTCCAACTCCCCCAAATTGCACAACTACCCCTCCAGCTCCCCCAAGCCCCACAGCTGCGCCCTCCAGCAACCCTAAATCCAAAACTGCCCCTCCGGCACCTCGCAAACCCCACAATTGCCTCCTCAAGCTGTCCCAAGCCCCCAGACTGCCCCCTCCAGCTCCCCCGAACCCCACAGCTTCCCCCTTCGGTTCCCCTAAAACTGAAAATTACCCCCTGCAGCTCCCCCAAACTCCACAACTGCCCTCCTCAGCTCTCCCAAATCCCACAACTGCCCCCTCTAGCCCCCCGACCCCATAACTG